TAATATTAGGCTTTTTACAAAAATTCCAGGAAAGAAACTACACACACTGCTTTGTGCACTTACAACATTACAACTGACGCCGATATTGGAACATAATTCGCCCTTCTAAAATTCTCGTGCACTTATGGATTCGCCGCATTCATTTTTAAATTACTGGCGAAAATACAGGAAACAAGAACCAGAAAACATAAGAAGTTTTACAAAAAGAAATAGGCCAAGCAAGAACAAAAAATGGCGCCAAAAAGTAATAAGTCTCATAATGCGAAAAATTTTCTAATAGAACGCCGGTTCTGCTATTCCCAATAAAAAAGATCACTTTGCTAATATATGAATATGCTTAAAATTGTATATATTACTTTAATAAGTCTTTTTCATATTATTTAGAAATAGTGCACTCGTACCTGGAGTCCAATATATGTATGTATATTGTCACACTTCTTTGTTAATAAATTTCAATAAATATAATACAAGATTCTTTTATTTTATCGCAAATAATTGATCGGGATTATATATATTTGTATCTCTGAGTTCTCACTTCAACAATATTATGCTTTTTACAAAAACGCCAGATAAGAAACTACACGCACCGCTTTGCACACTCACAAGAGTACAACTGAAGCCGATATTGGAATATAATACGCCTTTTTAAATTCTCGTGCATTTATGAATTCGCCGCATTTAGGCGAAATTATCGATGCATCATCGATACTACATCCAAACTTTAAAATCAACTATCGATGCCACTACGATACCAAATAACGTATTTTATGCATTGCATGTAAGAGGAAAACCATCGATGCTTTGTTGATACCTAGCCATACTTAATAGCATCATTTCGGTGATGATTTCTCATGTAAAAGAATGTGTGGGGTGTCAACATAATTGTGTGGTGAAATCAGTATAATTGTATGGTGAATTCAATATTATATTGTTGGGGAATCGTTATCGCTGCTATAAAGCAAAGAATCAAAAAATTCAAATAAAAATCATTTATCATTTTATGTTAAGAACAAATGTATTTATTTTAAAATAATAATTAAATACATATTATAAATTATATTTATGTATAAAAAAGAAGTACAAAGAATTTATATATCAAAAAACACACAAAATTTTTATAAAATATTGAGGTGAAATAAGCATAAAGCAATAAATTTCGCAAATTGATTCCTCAAAGCTGCCTTAAGCATCAATAAAGCATCGACGACATTTAACAGATTATTTTGGAATTGATTCTACTATAAACTGCTGGGAAGTTTCTAGCTTTTTAAATAACAAACATATTTTCCCTTTTTTATTCATGAACATACTATGTAAATGGAATCCATAGTAGTCCTGACAATTTTCTTGACGGCAAAGTGCCAGGCCTACAATTTTGAATCCGCGACAACTACACAGAGTTTCGTTGGTCAATTTTCTAATTTATTATTAGTTTTTCTACTTATTCAGATGCCAGAAAAGAATGATTTCTAAATGATGGTTGGTGATAGACATATGATCATAATCAAAATAAATTGAATTTCGACTACAAATTAGGTCTGCTTAACGCTTCCACAACAGATGCCAATATTTGCATTAGCGCTGGATATCTATATATAACTATATACAGATATATATAAATATATATTAATTGTGAGAAAAAGATAAAAGATATACATAGACGTACTCTCATAAACTTCGCCCTGGGGCTTTCATTTGCTAATTTCGTCTCTGGTTTGTAATTTTCTTTTCTTATCTTGCTATGAGAGTTCTATCAAAAAGAAATATACCTTTTTACTTGTTTACATACTTCAGTAAATCAACTAAACTATTTTTATCTGTATAAATAAGCACGAGGCATAATGACATAATATTATAATTTTGACATAATATTATAAATTCTACTTTGAAAAATAGAATTGGAAAGGTTACACCTTGAGAAACAATATTAAACAATATTTCCTAACACTACTCCCGTTGAGTATTTGAAAATACTCGAAACAGCGTTGTATGGTCAGCCAAATTCCAATAAATAAAAATAAATTTTTGTTCATATCTTTTCCTTGCTCTTCGTCACTCTCGGCAACTAAAAAAATTAACATTATAAAACAATTTTGTTTTATACATAATCATATTATTTATTACAAAATTTTAAATACTTGGATTTAAAGATTATTTATGATTTCAATTAAGATAAATGTAAAAAACAAATTCGATGATTTAGCTACTGCTGAAGAGTTTCACAAATCTTCGAATGTTTATCCACGCTTTGATCTGGTCAATTAAACCAATAGTGATTATTCGACAATTAAACATTAATTTTTACCTGACATTCCTTACTGCAATATCGACCGTCGGCACAACCAAATTGTGCTTCATTGGTCATGCATTCTTCACACACATCGTTATCGTTATGGTATTAGAATCGTTCTCATTTTCTGAACTTATTGTACCATTTTTATTTTCTGCTTCATTCTCACTCAATGTTTTCTCCTCTAATGGATCAACCACTACTTGTTTATCATTTAAGCTAATGCTTTTCTTCGAGTTCTCAAGATGGCTGGACAGTTACACAGCAGATGCTCCAGGATTTCCTTTGCAGCCGCCTCGTTTGTTCCTTTGGAAGGTTTACGCTATTTTTAGCAATAGCATCAACTGTTTCATTTCTCTCTATGCCTTTATGACCAGCAATCCACTACATACAAAGACTGTGATCGCAGGCTAGTTTGACTATAGCTTCATTGCATTCTAGAACACTTTTGGATGATGAACAGTATGATTCGATGGCCTTAATGGCTGCTTGGCTATTCACATAGATATTTATGCAATAGTTTCTCGTTTCATCTGCACACAAGATCTTAACTGCTTTTTTTCACAGCAAACACTTCTGCTTCGAACCCGCTGCAGTAGTCAGAAAGTTTAAACGGCATTCTTATGTTCAATTCCGCACAATAGATGCCAACTCTTATTCCTGCTTCCTTCTTTGAATCATCTGTAAAAACATTAATGGTGTTGCATTTTGGTACCATGCCTTTTTTCCATTCTTCGGTTTCGATTACAGTTCTTTAAAATTTCAGAAGAGAAAAGTTCTTCGGGTGATCGTTCAAATATCCAACTTGAATGGTCTTTGGTGACATCTACTACTCTTACCAGGTATTTTATTAAATTTTATTTTTATTAAGCTATGATTATGTATATTTCTAAATCTAATTTTATTACAAGAAGTGCTGAATGTGATTGATACAAGTTGTCCCAGAGGGTGGTGCATGTTGGTAACTTATCACATGTCGTAATGATAACACTTGCAGAAGGTTTCTATAAGATTAAACCAGTTGTGTGAGCAGAATAAAAAAAAAACAAATAAAAACAACAGTTCTTGAATAAGAACCTTCCTTGTGGGAAAACACCTTCGAGGAGGATTTTGATAAAATGAATTTAATATTTATGCATGAGCATTAAAGGGACTGCGAAAGCATATGTATGAGCATTTGCATATGCATGCGTCCATTTCTGGTTTGTTTTTCCATGTATTTTTCAAGTATTTAAAATGTTCAAAATTCCTGAGAATGCATGAACAACACTGCTGAGAATCCTTAGTGCATTATTCACAAATTTGTAACAAAATTTTCTAAAATACTTGTTATATGTTGGTTGGTTGGTTGTCCTGTCATATGTCCTTACATGACTACGGGTGAGTGTGAACTGTGAGTGTCTGTCTGTTTGTTTGTTTGTTGTAGGAAAATGCCGTAGTACAGCATTTTTGCTAAGCCTGCAAATGAGTCTGATTTTATTTAAATTAAAATTTAAAAGTACACAAACCACAACAATATTTAAAATGTGCATATATCCTTTTTATTTAATGTAAATAGGGTAAAAGGAATATTTAAGATTCAATTTGGTAGTAGTTGTTGAGTTATTTCTATGATGTCGTCAGTGGTACACAAAAGCTCATTTTCCTTTATGCCATTTAGCATATGCGCATGCATGTACAGACAAGCACAAACATGCATGTACTCGTATGTGGAAGAGAATGCATTTATGTGCTTCTAGTGGAAGCGGTCCATATTTTGTACGCATATTTTGTTATATTTTTTGGCTTTTGTAGAGATTCGAATGTGTCCAACACGTTAAGTGGAAAAAGTGGCAAAATATTAAAACGAAATGCTGAAATGCTTACAGTGTCGACAAGTTTGGAGCTGAAGAGTGCGTACTGGGTGTGCTGCAGTGGTTGTATTTGTGTACTTCAGTGACCCAGTTTGACAATAGTGTATAAAAGTAACATTTAAAGCACATTTCAAGAGTTACACTTTGCTGGACCTATTAAACTGCCAAATAAATTTCACCAAACCAAACTTCCAAGCCAGATTATTTTTTTTTGTATTCAATGAAATCAAGTAGAAATGTACTGGTAATTAAATCACTGCATTTGTTAGTGTATTTTGTCGTTCCATATTTTAGAACATCTACTTATTCTAAACAAAACTATGTCCAACTTAAGAAAATATGATCAATTTCAGAATAATAGGATGTGTCTTAAAAATTTAATACACTACTGGTATTCACAATGTCGAATAATAATCTTGGAAAGCAAGCAAGTATTCTATCAAGAGAATGAAAATCCTAATGAGCAGGACAAGCAAGGAAGTGTTGGCAGACCATCAGCCGATAAGTTCTAATACTGGAAAAATATTTATTGTTATCAGCTGGAAATGCAGGAGCTGAAGGTAAGAAAATGAAAAGGAGACAGTTGAATACTCCTTGTGCAAGTACTGGCAAGACTTAGGATTTCTTAGTGTTTTTTGTTTTATTTAAATAATGGTACATTGAGATATTTCCTTAATTTGCAAGGGTATGATTCCATCTTGTTAGTGTCAAAATTGCTCATGATTCAATTTACTATAACGTTTCATATATACACTCATAAATTAATTTTTTAAATACATATATTCGTTTTGAAAACAAAAGTATATGAAACAATGAGGTTATTTTGTTAATATTAAAAATCTTAGAATTTTGTGTATTTGTAAATTCATAGAAAAGCTCCAAATTACTAAAGATGTTGAGGTTTACCTCTACAGTCGATCTCTGTGAAGACAATAATGATTAGCGAATTCTTAGGGGTGATGTACCATGGAATGTTGTTGGTCGTTTTGGCACTCCTCGTCCTCGGGTATATCATCGAAGAGTTCGCTTCCCGTTTGACTATGACCATCTGAAAGTATGGACTCATCATCCATTTGAATTTCGCTACCATAATTCTGTGTAAACGCAGCCATTCTGTGATTTTGACAACCACCAAATTCTATATTATCATTGTTGTCATTAGTGAGAGTTGCATTTTCTACTGCTAAGTCACAGTCAATGACTTCATTATCAACAACAGCATCATTATACGGTCCAATAGGAAATTCATCTATTTCAAGTTCATCAGTGTTACGAGTATCTTCGTCTAGTGACTCATTTTCTGACCCATCAATGTTTTGTTCAGTAAAGATTTCGTGTGGTGGTCCAGTTGAGTAATCATTGAAAATCTACAGATATAAGAAATATGCTCTTATACATGGTTTATCACAAAACAAAAGAAATTTTAACTAATTATGAATAATTTTTTTTTAATTTTAAGGTTTTTCTTACCAGTTGGATGGCAGTGGTTATACTGAGTAGTATAAGTATGATTTTTTCTCGTAGTATATGAATATTGTCTTTATTTTCCTGTTTTATTTCTGCGAATTGTAGTTTTATGCTAACATCAGGACTGATATGACACATTTCGACTTCGTCTAGTATAGCACTTAGGTTAATGCAGTGATTAAGTGCATTTTTAGTCGAAAGAGTTTTCTTATCCATATACAAATATAGGGTGTATGCCGTTAGTATGTCTAACTTCTGCATGCTAACCAAATGTGTATGATTCATTAGATATTCTTCCGCTTCAGTCAAATTTGTAATGCTGCTTAACATTATTATTTCAGATTCGTTGTCATAACTGAACAAGATTATGCGCGAAAGAATTTCAATCTCCAACTTCTTATCAAATTTATCACGGGAATCTCTATTATTCCACTGATGATGAAAATGGTTGGCAACTAATAGAACATGGAGAGGACTTTTAGTCAATTTTTCTTCGAACCTTTGCTCTATATCGGAAAGTTTCTTTTTTTCTGCCTTACTAGCTTCTAACCTATCCTGAATGAATAAATATTTATTTTAGTAATTCTAATGTATTATAAATAAAAAGAATTTAGTATTTTACATAAGCGTTCTCCGGATAACATTTTGCAATATTTTCAATATAACCTGTGATTTTCTTCATATCTACGATATCTTTAATCAACGCGAAACTAGTTGCATACTGTTTTTTAATGGTATCACTCATTTCTTTATTTTCGTCCTCAGATATGACATTGTCATCGGAATCCGATTCCAAATCCGAATCCGAGTCCTATATATTATTGATATCAATATTTTATAGTTATTATAAAACTTTTGGTGCTCTAAGAAATCTATTTAATGATTATAAAATAAAATAATACTCACAATGAACGGAATATCGATTGTATTATTTGCCATTATTATAGTTAGAAATGGCTTTCTGTGTCAATTTGTAACGAAATATATATTCAACTCAATTACTAAATTTTTTCTTGTCGTTCAAAAAAATATGCTTCAATGACTTTATATAAAAATGTCCGCAAGAGGTCGCCTCCAAAATTGATAGATGAACAAAGCTTGCGTTTTGTTCGATAAAGCGAGCAAGACATTATAATATTTACTATACAATTTTGTAAGAAACTTTCCTTTGGCTTTGATTAACTTATATAAAATAAAATAATTTTATATATTTATTTGGTTTCATTAATTAATTAATAAATTCTATTTATCGAAAGTGGCGCGTCTTATGGCAACACAAACTATTTAAAAGTTAGAAGGGTTCGAATAGAAATAAGCAGACAGCAACAGAAACTTTAGTTAATTTATTAAAACTTGGCTGACCATACAACGCTGTTTCGAGTAAAGCCAAGTTTTTTTTTTATATTTCGGCTTTTTTAATTAATTTAATTAGTTATTATTTCTGTGGACTTTAAAACTTTTGTTGAAGTTTTTTTATTTATTTATTTATTTTTTTTTTTTGCTTGAGTTTATTAAAGTTTTAAGTCTGTTGAGTTGTGATTATATAAATACAACCAATTTAGCTCATTTGTAGCTTAGTTCAAGAAAATGAAAAATAGCATGCTATAATATAGCTCAAAAGTTTATAATAGACTCAAAAGTCTATTATATTTGGATTCCAAAAATTCAGAAATAATAGCAAAAAAATTCATTGAAAATTGTTTGAGATAGCAGCGTCATCTTGGGAGACAATTTTCAATTATCTTAATGAGTTACCATATGCATATATAGTAGCTATAAGTTCAGTTTTCGATACAAAGAAAAAAGAATCATAATTTTTTTTTTTATAATTATAATTCCATATTGATAAGTAAATTTCAAGCGTAATCAAAAAGCTCTATGGAATTGTTATATATATATATTAATATTATGTACCTTATAGGGAGGGATTTAATTACTTGACATCATATACAATTTTAAATGCACTGTATATACACTCCTTCCCTTGGCACAATCCTTATTAGGTCATCGTGTCTTTCATACAATTTGAATTATAATGTAATGATAAGTCCTTATGCCGGAATCTTGTCACAACAACTATCTTGTACGCAATTAAAGTCAATGGCTCTCTGCTTGTCTCTTAAAATGATCATTAATGAGTTCACAGAAAATATAAAATCTTTAATTGAATTGGTGCTTAGACTTCTCATTATGATATGATTGACATATAGCAAATGGATTAATTTTTCAAGAGCTTTTATTTGCCCATTATCTGTTTTATTATAAATCTTTGTTTGAGTTCTTGAGTGATTGCATTTTGTATACTTACTCTTGTATTTAAGAGGGAGTATTCTCGACTATGTTTTTGTATTGTCTAACACATCTCTGGGAACACTGCAAAGCTTTCTGCAATTCTTTCTGGTCATTGGTGTATAGGAATCCATCAAGAGAAACTGTGAATTTCTCATAATCCTCACTGCAGAAGTTATGGAAACCCGCAGGAAAAAGAAACCAAAACACATTTTCTCTGTGAATGCCCGGTTTTGGCGTCCAGAAGTTATAGGCTGTTAGGAAGTTACTTCTTTGATAGTTTATCAGACGGCTCATCGCTAAAAACGAAAGATCTATTAAATTATCTAAATTCGGCGGGATGGACTTAGTCTTTATTCTTCTCTACTAAGATTCCTGCTAGGAATGTGGTAGCAAAACGGCGAAAAATCGCTAATTGAGGTAAATGGTAGTTATCTAATGGCCTGGCTCTACAACCAACTAACCAACCATTTTTGGGAATACTTTTTGGATTTTATTTTCAGTATATTAATTGCGAACACCTCAAGTTCCGTACTTAAAGTAGATTAATCTAAAATCTGAAGTGTGTTTATCTATTGGTAGCTTATTGGCAGGGATATCTGATTATGTATAAAAGCCATTTCATATCTCACCGAAAAGTAGAAGTATGTAAGAAATCACATTTAAATAAATCAAAAACATAAATATTTTTAAAATTGATCCAAAAATCAATACGAGATGAATTTGAAAAATAGAATAAAATTGAAAATAGTTAACAAATTCTGCAAATATGAACAAAAAAAGTAAAGGTGCGAATCAACTGAAGCTGTGCCAATGTATAAAATCGCATTTTTACGTGCTTTTAGAGGCGTGCGACTTAAGGACTTAACGACGACTGATGCCTGTTTGCATCCTGAGCAGTTTATTATGCGAACTCCAACACAAATGTGTGTTTACAAAATTACAAAAAACTTTCACAATCATCGTCAAGCATAGGCAAACACATTAATGAACAGATGTACTTCTGCATGAGAACAAATGAAATATGAGTCTTAGCATTGCAAAATGCGAGCATTCTCTGGTACCTAGGTGGGTTTCCACTAGGAAAATAAAAAACACCCAGCATAAAAATATAATCTAAATATTTTAAACTTTTTTTAACAGAATATAACGATGCAGAACGTAATAAGAAATTAATATATAACCACTAAAATATTAATAACCGAATGTATTTAACCACAATATTGCATCAGGAGTTTGGACATGCAAGTTGGTCATCATGTCTCTGTAGGGGAGACAATCTGCTCTACGTGATCACATGTCCACTTTGGAACACTTTTCCAAACGGCAAGTCCTGATACAACTGTCAATAGTTTTACCCCACTTTGGTGAAAGCTTAGAATATTCCCGAAGTAAGCCATGCCTGTGGTAAGAGGCGACTAAAATCCCGGCGCCAACACTGTTTTCTGTGTAAATGGTAGTGAGTAAGATTCACTTGCACACTCGACCAGAGGTGTATATCTTGTACCACGGGCCACAGTGTCCGCAGTTTCGACTGTTCTGGCCAATTGAGGTTTGCAGTGTCGTGGTGGCTATTTTTATATCAAAACTTACGCGTGAAGTTGCGTACTCGCACCGGGTGCTGTGACACAAATGTTCAACTGAGGTAGTTGTAGACATCGTTTCTTATCACGGGGCAAGTCAGCCAAACACATAACTTAAATTGGTACCAGCTGAGTTCCTTGGAAATGCAGTTTTGTTTATCGGCGCATTATCTTGACACGTGTGTTTTTTGGAACACAGTGTTTTTGAGTCTTTAAGGTAGGTCAACACGTTAAACAATACTGGATGTTGTCAGTATTTCCACTCGAAGGCATTTCTTGTCCGTTATCATTTCCATTAAGTTGTCTTAGAGAGGCGAGTTACACTAACTGTTGATGTCTGTGTTTATTATCCTAACCTGTTTTATCTTTCATATAAAGCTGATTAGATCCATAAATCTACTGTCGATATCTCTAACGCGCCAGTGAAAGAACGGTCTAAAAGACATTGAAATTGCTTGATCTATAATTTCAGACAAAGCTATAAAAAGCGATTAATATATTCTACTTCCTTGTTGCCATAGCAACTACTGCATGGTTTCATTTTGAAATACTCCACAGTTAAAACAGAGAGCACTTTACATACCATTCTGCTTCCATAACTCGAACTTCTATAACTCGAATTTCTTTATAACTCAAATAAAAATATTTTCACGTGCCAATAGGAATGTGGGAAAATGCATTCTATGAGGCTCGCCTTTTTGTTTTAAGTATAAATACATTTTGCTGTTAGCGGAGGTACCTCTTTCCAAACCAAATGTTTAATTTGTTGCTTCTTTCTGCAAATGCCAGTCGCTGGCAGCATGTTTTACAGTAAATAAAATAACTTCCAATGCTACTCTTAACGACTATATACAGGTTGATAATAAAATTGTGTATCAAGTTTTCCTACAGATGACGATATTATTGAACCTTATAGCTCTGAATTAGTGGATTCGATTTTAAGTGCAACGAAACATGATGATGAGGGTTCGATGGATGAAATTTATCATTAGCCTTCCAGAATAAAGTAGAAGACTCATTCAAAATTCTGATTTTTTTTTTTGCAAATGAATGATACTACAACTGATGATCACTGTAAGGCTTGGAATAAATCGGAATCTCTTTTTACTGAAAATAAGAAAAAGAATAATAATACTGTATAATAATAATTTACTTCACTATAACTTCTGTGTTCTATGGGAGTTCAAATAAATAAATATCTAATATTTTAAAATGTGTAATTCTAGTCTCTTTCAAAAATAAAAAAAATCTCTATATCGAAGTCTTCATAAGTCGAACCTTTTCTTTACAAAATGCTACTTCGAGTTATGGAAGTTTTACTGTATATATGGTATAAAAAATTGTTATCACTTGAATGCAATTCTCATCGATAAGCACTACGAAATTGTATATACAGCTTTAGATCAGTGGTAAATTTCAGATTCGTTTTTGGTGATGCAGAGTTTAAATGTGAAGATATGATTTTGTGATTATTCTCTAAACATTCTCTATTCTCAGTTACAAGTTTTCAAAAAAAAAATCCACTTTTTTTTTAAATCTAAAACCAACCAATTATGTAAATCTTCTTTTCAATAGATTAGTCAAATTTACTGCAGGGTCACTTTCAAAACACACACACATACGCGCGCTTACAACACCATGTAGGCATGTGTTAAAACATTCATGTATGTAAGCTGATAATCAATTTTCAGTGAAATATTTTTCTATTGATGACAACTAAAAGTAGGGAAGTGAAAAAACGAAAAACAATAACAAAAACAAACAACGCCACGAATAACAACAACAACAACAACAACAAGAATAACAACAACTAACTTAAGCTTAGCAATAGGAAAAGGTTGACAATTTTATGAAACTAACAAATACATTGCCCCAATAGGAGAGTACAAGCGTCAACACAAATGCAATTGCACACACATACCCACACCACCGATGTGCGCGTATGTGAGCGCATACAAACATGTACGGGCATAATGGCGAAAACTAAACAAATAGAAAATATGAAAGAGCAGGCAACGAACGAATTGATGAAAATTTATTGCTCACACTTGTAACTGATGATGGCGCTTATGGGATTCGAACAATGTACAATCATGCAAACGCACGTTCAGTGTTCAGTGTGCAAGTGAGTG